GAAAAAACTACCAGTGTGAAAAAGCAGCAGCCAAAATGTTGAGAATAAGGCCTCTGATCTCCACCGAACCAAACTCCCAGTCTTTATACACATGTTCCTCCTATAGTCTTCCCTATCTCAGTAAATACAACTTTTTCCTTCTAGCTGTTCAGGTCAAAAAGGTCAGAATCATCCTTGATTCCGCTCTTTCCTTCATATCCCCCAGCACTCCCTATTTTCTATCTCTGCTTTATTTTTCTCCATAGCACTTATCTGACATGCTACACACACACACACACACACACACACACACACACACACAGCTTTTACTATATATCTTTTCTTTGTATAGAGTGAAAGCACCACGAAGGTAGGGATTTTTGTCTGTTTAGAATACTGCTGTATCTTCATAACTTAGAATAGTGCTTTACATAAAGATGCTCAATTTCTTGAATAAATAAATAATAGTTACCATACTGAATTCTTAGTGTCAGGCTAAGATCTTTGTGCTAGGATCTTTATATCAGTTATTTCTAATTTTTGTGACAATACTACAAGGAAGGCAGCCTTCCCTTTTTTGCTAAACCTCAGAGAGGTTAAGTGACTTGCCAAGCAAGGTTTGTAAGTAACAGAATTAAGATTGGAATGCACATCTGTCTGATTCCCAAATATGAGTTCTATTCATTAAGCTTCCCTGTATTCATAATGAAAGGGTTACTGAAAAATTTAATAAGATATTGTTCAGTGTTCTTCATTTGATGAAGGAAACTGTATACTATATTTCTGACAACAGTTTCCATCTTGGATTATCTTGACTTTAAAAGATTAAAATGAAATAAAATTGGCTGTTTAAAGGAGCATGCCTCAGTTATCTGGAATATTTAGGTATATGTAGAGTGCATTATTCCCCCAAACTGCAAAGTAGAAGGGAGTATTATTTGTATTCTTAGAGAAGGTTAAGAGGTCCTCACTCAAATACTAATTCTGTTTGTTAACTAATTTTAACTTGCTTTTTAAAAAGCAAATATTTATATAAGGGTTATTAGAAGCTAGTCACTGTTATGAGTACTTTATAAATATTAACTAACTTAACATATATCTTTATAATAACCTTGGGAAAGTTACTTCAGCACTTTGTTCTTTTTCCCGGTCTTTACACAGAGACAGTTGGACCAGATGATCTCCAAAGCCCACTCCAGTTCTGCAATGTTAAGGCTTTCTAACTAACACATAACACATAGTTAGTTATGTGTTAAGAAAGTTAGATAAGGTCAGCTTTTCCTAGTGGGAGCAGAGATGAGAGTGGAGCCCCAAAGACAGTGGAGAGTAGAACCGGAAGTTGTGATTTAGGTGAATTAAAAGTGCAGTCTGTATGTAGCACAGTGTCAGTTTGGGAGGGAAGGAAGGCAGCATCAAATCATTGCTCAGGTTTTGATGATGTGAAGCTCCTTTCCTTAATATCTAACGGGAGAAATTGCAAGTTGTTATGTCTTGAGCAGAGCACATGACACCTGCTTATTAATCAACACTACTTTTTAGCTATAGGTTGAAATATGGCTCGTGGTTCTTCAAGATTTTAAGAAATAGGAAATAGGAGAGTTAAGGATTTGGTACATGAAAATATCAAACCTGAATCTGATCAAGCATCTAGAGCTCACTACTAATTTACTGGAAAGACAGGGGGCAGAGGAATATGTTAAATTACGCCTCAAGGGTACAATTACCAAATACCATCTGTGGGAAACTACAGGACAACCCAGTTTCTTCCAATAAATCAATTGGAAAAAAAAAAAAGAGAGAGAGAGATGGAGCAATGACCTATAGATAAAAGCAATTTGAGAGAAAGCAACCATTTGCAGTGTATGGATCATATTGGACCCTTAGTTCCTGATTTGAACAATCAGGGGAATCTGAACACCAGTTATTGGAGGTATTAAGAAATTTTTGTTGATTTTTATTTAGGGTTAATAATGTTAGTGAGTTAAAACTCTTTTTTTTTTTTTTTTTTTTTTTTTTTTGAGGCAGGGTCTTAATCTGTCACCCAGGCTGGAGTGCAGTGGCACAATCATGGCTCACCACAGCCTCAATCTCCCAGGCTCAGGTGATCCTCCCACCTCAGCCTCCTGAGTAGCAAGGACTACAGGTGTGTGCCACCACACCCGGCTAAGTTTTGTACTTTTTGTAGAGAGGGGGTTTCACCATTTTCCCAGGCTGGTCTCAAACTTCTAGGCTCAAGTGATTGCCCTTTTTTTGGCCTCCCAAAGTGCTGGAATTACAGGCGTGAGTCACCGTACCTGGCTCAAACTCTTTAGATTCAGAGGTAAACACTGAAATATTTATGGATGAAATGATGTGATGTCTAAGATATGCTTCAAAAATAACTGGGAAATAGGGGATGGAATAGATGGAGTTATATATGAAACAAAATTGGTCATAAGATGATAAAGCTAGTTTATGGGTTCATGGGGATTTATTATACTATTCTGTCTGCTTTTATATATGTTTAAGATTTTCATCTTGAAAATCTTTTTTTAAAAGCTGACAAAGGGCTGGCTGTGGTGGCTCACAACTGTAATCCCAGCACTTTGGGAGGCTGAGGTGGGAGGATCACTTGAGCCCAGGAGTTTGAGACAAGCCTAGGCAACATAGTGAGACCCCATGTCTATTTAAAAAAAAAAAAAAAAAAAAAGCTGACAAATACACATATGCTTTCATGATAGAAGTTATGAAAAGGGAGATTATAAAACATTGCTTTCTCAGTGATTTTCATGCAGAAGCAACATCTTCCTATAGTAAAGATTTCCTCAAGTAAACATATTATATGTTTATTATAATATATATAGTATATATTCATTAGAAAGGATATAACCGGTTCAGAAATACCACTATAGAGAGTGAAAGTCCCCTTCTTAAAGCACATGATGCTTTTTAAATGCTGAAAATTGTCATGACATTTGCACATATGTTTCTTTTTCCATTTTTGAAATGCACAAGATAAAATTAATAGAATAGAACAACTAATTTAGATTCAGAGTCAGTTCTATAAAGGTTTCCTACTGTACTGCATTGTTTTTGCTTTGCAAAGAGGTTATTAACATTTTTTTTCTGGGTTAGGGGAGGAGTTTTTAAAAATCCTGTACAGGTTTTTAAAAAATCCTGTACAGGTTAATCCATTGTGTGGTAAAAGCTATAGCTAAAGAGGCAATGTGGAATGCTCCAGTGTGCACAACCCCTGCTTTTATCACAGGTGGCAACTGCAGATTAATTCTGGTGTGGTTAGGCTTTACACAAAGGGAAACTTGAACCTGAGAGCCTATGTCCCTGACAGTGCTAATTGGGAGATGTGGAGTGAGGGGATTTCCACTCTACAAGATCTCCAGTGCATTTCCTCCTTGTTTTTGCATTTTCCTTTGCTATGAAGCAGCTGCACAGAAGTAAAATGTGATTTCCTGTATTTAGGAGTTCTAGCTTTTCTTTCAGAGACTTATAATTGGAAGGGTGGAATGCATATGGATTAAGCTACCTACAGGGCTAATTTAAACGTAGGTGTTTTATTTTTGTTTTTGTTCTTGTAATGAGTTCACTGCATTTGTGCCAGGAGTATTTTTGTTCAGATGTTTTGAATTAGCAGATAACTCAGGTTGTTTCAAAAGCAGGCTTCTCTCTAGGCTGATCACTGCTTTAACAGTGTGATTCTTTGCAAGCTGACTGAAAAACCACCAATGGCAAAAGTGCATTCTGTCATATTAATAAAAATACTGTAGTTCCTTTGCAGATTCATACAGTATAAATGCTTATCTTGATTATATAACCTGCAGAATTTTCCAAAATGAGAAAAATAGGCAGAGGATGTTTTTCAAGAAAATATGGTAAGGCCATATCAAGGTACAATGTTCCCAGATACAATGTCAGTGGGAACTGAAAAGAACTTATTCGCAGAGTAGATGCTCAGGAGTCATTAGACTTAGGTGAAAGTTCTTATCATAAATTAATACTTTTTTTTGTAGTCATTGTCAATATTTCTTGTCCTATTAACGGTAGTTGATTTTTTTTTCTTTTTTCTTTTCTTTTTTTTTTTTTTTTTTTTGAGACAGAATCTTGCTCTGTCACCCAGGCTGGAGTGCAGTGGCGCGATCTCGGCTCACTGCAAGCTCCGCCTCCTGGTTTCACGCCATTCTCCTGCCTCAGCCTCCCAAGTAGCTGGGATTACAGGCACCCGCTACCATGCCCAGCTAATTTTTTATATTTTTAGTAGAAATGTTAGCCATGTTAGCCAGGATGGCCTTGATCTCCTGACCTCGTGATCCTCCCGCCTCAGCCTCCCAAAGTGCTGGGATTACAGGCATGAGCCACCGTGCCCGGACGTTCATATTTTTCAAAATATACTTAGGAGCCTATCCTAAACATGGGCCAGACCTTTGGATATTTTTGAATGTGGTTTCTTCCCAAGTCATTCACCATTGTGTTGATGGTACAAGGCTTCTCCACTTGCAATCAGAGAAACGTCAAATGACTATTAGTAAACAAGAACTGATTATTAAGTACCAGATTAGCAGAGCTGGATGATCAGATCCAAACCACAGCATTCATTATTACTGTAAACTATGTGATCAGTGAAGCTAAACTAGTATTTAAAACCCAGGCACCCACCACTACACTCAGCTAATTTTTGTATTTTCAGTAGAGACAGGTTTTCAGAATGTTGGCCAGGCTGGTCTCGAACTCCTGACCTCAAGTGATCCGCCCGCCTTGGCCTCCCAAAGTGCTGGGATTACAGGTGTGAGCCACAGTGCCTGGCCTGTTAGTTTCTATTAATAAGTACACAATACCCTAAACAATTCAAGGCATCTTAATCTCCATTAAGAACAACAACAAAATAATTTTTATCATGCTGTTAAATTTTATCATGCTGTTAAATCACTATGGATAAAACTGGTGCAAATTGGTCAAATGGATCCAACAAACACTGATGTCCAAGTTGGGATATTGGTAACTATTAATAATGCATAACTCTTGGTCAGTAGTTTAAAAGATCTTCTCTTTATTCTTTTTGAAGGTTCTCAAAGAGCTTTGTTGTTTTGAAATATGTTGTTGAGCTTCCCAGTTTGCTTTCTCATCCTCAAACTGACAATGTTTTTTCTCTAATTCTTTGTGTTATGCTTCTTTTTCATTTGCTCGTGGCGCTGCCATTGGAACTCAACTTCAGAGTCCTTACAGTTTTTGAGCTTTTTTTTTGACCTTCATTTCAAACACCTGCTCCATCTCCAGCTCCATCCTTCATTTTAGCTACATACTCTTTCTTCTTCCATTTGTGCCAGAAGTCTCTTAGCCCGTATTTGTTAACTACATTATAAGTCACAACTGCCAGTTTTCTATTTTCACAGTGGGCATTTAATAACATCTTTCAAATCATGCATATGTGTTATTAACATATTTCTTAAAATTGTAAAAACAATGTTCGCCATTTTTAACTTTAGCAACACTCCAAGGATACTGCCTTCCCCTAACCCTTTTGCCATTAAGTTCAATGATACAGTATTACTACTTACCTAAGCAAGAGGTAAATGGTCCTTCATCTTTTTAACAAGCTTGTTGTCTTCTTCATCTGTTTCTGGAAATTTGTATGTTTTAAGTTCTTAGATTTCTTTCATTATCTGTTTTAAAGTTATTATCTGGTTTAATTCCATGTCCTGAAGGAGCAATGAAGTATAAACAAACCTGCACCCTGTTATCGGGCACCTGACATCTGTTCACTCATGATTCTGCATTTAGGTAGTCCACAGATTTAGTATCAATGTAGTCGATAACGAGCTGCCAGCAATTACTATTATCTACTGCATCTCCAAATCCTGGGGTATCAACTGTTGTAAGCAGCAACTTAACACTACCTTCTTTGATTACAACTTTGATTGTTCCTCCTGTACAGTCTTTTTAGTAATAATTCTATGAGAAAGACTTGGATATTCTGGAGAATGCAAATCTATGAGGAATCATGAGTAGATTAATGTTGTCTTTCCCGGATTTCCCACTACCATAAGTGTGAATTCAAATCTTCTCTTCACTGATTCTCTGGATACTTGATTTCGGAGATTGGCAAATCCCACACATTTCCATCATTCCAGTCATCCAGATTCCAACAGAAGAAATCCACAGAGGAACCATGGTGCTGCTGTTGACGCTCCTCTCCTAAGCAGCAGTGGATCTTGCACTCCAGGTCATTCTTTTCAAAACGCTGATGTAATGCTGTTACTCCCCTGCCTCAAAACCTTCAGCAGTTACCCATTCCTGCCCTGAAAGTAATTCTTCCAGTTTGGCCGCAGCCTACTTTTCAGGCCATATTGCTTACCATTCTCCTCTAGAGACACTGCTTCAGCCAGTGCCAGCTAATTAGTGGCTCTAGACTGCTTTGTGTTTTCTTCCTCTTCTTTTTCCCCTTATCTAAAATATACTCGTACCTCCAAATCCTGTTTTTCCTTCATGGCTATCTCAGTCCCTTTTCTGTCACACAACCTTTTTGGACCTCTGTAGTCTGCATTTATCTTTTCTTCCTTGGAACTTGTAGCATTTATTAACCCTGGCACACATCTGGCTATTGGTCCTATACTATGTGTTCTTGTTTTAGTGTTTAGTTTTTCACGTTAGTGTCTATTGTTATTTCAACCAGATTAGAAACTCTGAGGGACGGGACACCCTTTTGCGTATTTTCCACAATGCGTGGCATCTAGTAGGTGTGTGTAATAAATATGGTTATTTATACATTAAATAATCCAGTGCTTACACTTATTATGTCATAGCCACCATTTCAGTTAATCTTTACAGTAATTTTGAGGGAATGAGTATTTTCTCTCCGTGACAAATGAGGAAACTGAGGCTCAGAAAAGTTCGGTAACTTGCTGAAACCACACAGGTTAAGTGATGAAGTCAGGATTCAAACCCACCTCTTTGGACTCAGTAACACATGCTGTTTAACCATACCGGTAATTCTGCCACCTTATGAGACTGATGTATGTGTTTTGAGGATGGGAAATTACCTACCACTTAACTTACTATTATTTGCTTAAAAATGGCAGAAGAAAAAGTGTGCAAACCTGGATTTGTAGTGATTCCTAGCAGGAATAATGAAACAGATTCAAACTGTGCCAAAGTTCACAGGAAAATAGAATTTCCCTTAATCTCTTTGATTACTGGTGGAATGACTCATCTTCCAGTTGTACATTGCTCTTGAGTTACTCAGATATTTGTATAAGTTAGACAGTGGAAGGAAAACCACCAATGAGATGTACAAGACACGTCATTTGAGCTGATGAATGTTCCCGGGATATCCCCAAGATTTCTACCTGAGTATTCTTGCCTATCCTATTTACTGTTTGACTCTTTCACCTTTTGGTTTTCTTTCAGAGTAAAATCACTTCCCATTTCCTTTCTGCTTTCCACTTGGATAACTTTCACAGGCTACTCTCACTACTGCAGTGCACAAAGATTTACTGTCTACATATTTAACATTAGTGAGATTTATTGCTGAATTTATGCACTAGAAGTTTCAGGAATTTAAATTTTTCCTTTTTCATTCTCTTCTCTGCTTCCGATTTTTTTCACTAAAAGAGAACAAAAATAACCCAAACTATTTTCTTTTTATAAAAAATTAGCAATAGAATTGAGTATAGATAGTAGTAAATTCTGCTTCATTTCTGTGGGAACATTGAAAACTTGATGGCTTCTGCAAATGACTGATAAATTGTTTCTGCTTTATAAAGAAAGGAAATAGCTCATTCAATTCAATGAAGTCATTAGTAAATGGAATTAGAAATAAAGATTCTGTATTTTTTTGTTGTCATTAATTTGGTCTTTCTGTCCGCATCTCAGTTTTCTCACAGGTTTGTTTTGAGGATAGATCAGAAGACATATGCACACTGTAAAGCATAAAGTAATCCTTAAGGATGCACTACAGGCAGTCCTCAGCCGAGAAACTTGATTTATGAACCACGCATACATGCATACTACAAAGGGATGGGTCTTACCTCAGTCTAGTGCCCTTTGAAGGTGACAAGCTAAATGGTCTTTTTGGCCCCCGAATCAGAATACCTAGGAACAACTGATATGTAGACATATTTTCTTATACATGTGGGAGCAGTTAGGTTATGGGTCCTTTCAGGGATTCATCTACTCTGCTGCCATGTGAAGACAGGAGCCCATTTCTCAGTCAGGAATAGGAAGCAGGAAAAGTTTCTTTCCTGGTATCCAATGTTGAAACCCAAAGAGTTTATAAATGTTGACAAACTATTGGTAAAACTTGTGGTATTATTATTTACCTAAAGCACATACAGGGGCTTTTATAGTATAGACTTTTTACAGTCAAATCATTTAATTTTATTGAGTCCTTACAATAGCCCTTTGAAGTATGTATTAATAGCCCCACTTTATTCCTGAGGAACGTAAGGCCCAGAAAAGTGAAGCGACTTGATCAGTGAAGGGGCTTAAATTTTCTACACGTTTCCTTTCAAAGACGAAGGGAAGTTAGGCACTGTGTTGGCACTTTAGAGCAGGTTCTGGGTTAGTTGTGAAGCAGAGGGGATTTCCAGGGTGTGTAAGCACGAAAAAACTCCTTGAATGAAAGCAGAATTTTTTTTTAAGTAGTTAACAGCGTTTTGGGGTTTGCAGGACTCAGGCTGTGTTACTGCCTTTTTTTCTTTTTTTCTTTTTTTGGCCTGATTTGTTTCTTTCTAATTTAGGAGCAAGATTTTATAATTAAAAATATATTGCCTTTTGCCCTTTCTTTTAGCTGTTCTCCATAAATCTGTCAGAATATGATATGAAAAGGAAGGAGAGTGGGATTAAAAATAATATAGCTGATTCTGTCTAGACATTTAATTTCTAAACTATCTTTACCTGAGTTAGATCTTTCTGCAAAGCTCAGGCAAGATTTAAGAAATAACTTTAAACTTGTAAGTAAATTCTGTTCTATCTGGAATTTATAGGAGAGTGTATTAATACTTGGAAATAATACCTAACTGCTAGGGAGCATGCATCTTTAGCTCATGATTCTAGATGATTGAGAATTTTTTAGGGAAAATTTTTCAGTCCTTCATGTAGTTGATAGTGGGCTATCATTTTATATTTCAAGATTAAAAAATAGATTATCTTCTTTCTCCTTCCTCTCCTCTTCCTCTTCTCTTTTTTTCTTCTTTCTAGCTGTATGGAATGACAATTTAATTATTCATTGAGTCTTCTATTAATGAGTATTTAAGTGGTTTCAAATCTTCCACTATTACAAAAGTGCCACAGTGAATCACCTTACACATTTGTAATTTCTCACATTCTGATATAGATGTAAGATAGATTCCCACAAATTGAATTGCTAGCACAATGGAGACATATTAATTTTGATTGGCCTTCATGGAAATTTTATCAGTATATACTCAGCAAATTATATATTAATATTTGCTAGTTAATAATCAGCAAAATATGAGGATTCTTTCTCCACACTTTTAAGATTCAGTGTGCTATCAAACATTTTGATCTTTGCCTATATGAAGTAAAAAATAAAATTGCAGTATAGGATTAATTTACAGTTTTCTTGGAGTGTGGTGGAGCATATTTTCACAGGTTTAAGAGTCACTTATATTTATTTTCTGCAAACTGTTTGCTCCTGTCTTGCCCGTTTTTTGAGTTTTGACTCTTTTCTTATCAATTTTAGGAGCTCTTTATTTGAAAAATCTGTGGTTTAAATTACAATTTTTGAAGCTTTACTTATGTTTTTTTCTCTATGTACATTTTAAAATATTCAAATTTATCAGACTTTCCTTTTATGGCTCCTGGGTTTCATATTTAGAAAGATTTTTTCTGTTGCAAGGTTATTGAAAAGCCAACAAACACAAAAACTTCCTTTTGCTCCCTACACTTTTGTTGTTTTTCTCTAAATTTTTCATCCATTTGGAATTTTTTTCTGATGTGAGGTATAGTTCCAACTTAATTTCTTCCCCAGCTAATTAGCCAATTGTGTCAACATCATTTGTTTAGCAACCCATATTCTATCCAACTAGTGATAAAGTGGGATGTTACTGTTAGCATGTACCAAATTCTTCATATAAATATTTAGGTCTCTTTTTGGACCTTCTTTTCTGATTCACTAATCTGCATACTTCTTAACAGTATGACACTATTTTGATTATTGTAGTTTCATGATATATCTAATATCTATTAGAGCTAATTTTTATAACTTGGGTTCTGGCACTTTCTTTAATAAACTTACCGGAGATAAATATTATAGGCCTATGATAAAATGTATTAGCAATGTTCCCTGGGGCAAAATCACATTTTATATATGTGACAGAGTCCTATTACCAGTAGCTTTTAAGCATTTTTGAACACAACACAGATACAATATACATTATATGTAATAACACATTTATAAATAAAAAAATTTATACATTAAAAAAATTATGGACTCTTGCTATATTTGTTGCACTCTATTTTTAGTTCTGTTTATTTCTCTCCGAAATGCTGGTTGCAACTGTATTAAATTGATCTCATGACCTAGTAAGGTCTTGTGACCTGCAGTTAAAAAACCATCTTATTATTTGATGTTTTAAATCATAGCCATTCTAACTGGTGTGAGATGGCATCTCATTGTGGTTTTAATTTGCATTTCTCTGATGATTAGTGATATGGAGCATTTTTTCATGTTTATTAACCACTTGTATGCCTTCTTTTGAGAAGTGTATGTTCATGTCTTTTGCCTGTTTTTTAATGGGGTTGTTTTTTGCTTGTCGAATTAAGTTCCTTATAGATTCTGGATATTAGCCCTTTGTTGGATGCAGTTTGTAAATATTTTCTCCTATTCCGTAAGTTGTCTGTTTAAAGTAAATAGTTTATTTTGCTATACAGAGTCTCTTTAATTAATTAATTAGGTCCCACTTGTCAATTTTTGTTTTTGTTACAGTTGCTCTTGAGGACTTAACCAAAAATTCTTCGCCAAGGCTGAAGTCAAGAAGGGTATTTCCTAGGTTTTCTTCTAGGATTTTTATAGTTTGAGGGTTTACATTTAAATCTTTAATCCATCTTGAGTTAATTTTGATATGTGGTGAAAGTTAAGGGTCCAGTTTCATTCTGCTACATATAACTAGCCAGTTATCCCAGCACCATTTATTGAATAGGAATTCCTTTCCCCATTGCTTGTTTTTGTTGGCCTTGTCAAAAATCAGGTGTATGCGAGTGTACAG